CATCATCATTCGCAGTCAGCCAGATGTTCAGACTGGATTTGGCATTTTTGTAATAATAATAATAATAATAATAATAATAATAATAATAATAATAATAATAATTCGCACAGTCAGCCAGATGTTCAGACTGGATTTGGCATTTTTGTCATCATCATCATCATTCGCAGTCAGTCAGATGTTCAGACTGGATTTGGCATTTTTGTAATAATAATAATAATAATAATAATAATAATAATAATAATAATAATAATAATAATAATTTGCACAGTCAGCCAGATGTTCAGTTTGGATTTGGCATTTTTGTCTATTATTGTTATTATTATTATTGATCATTGCAGTCAGCCAGATGTTCAGACTGGATTTCTTATTTTTCTCATTATTAGTATTGTTATTGTTATTGATCATTGCAGATCAATAATGTTCAGCCAGATGTTCAGACTGGATTTCTTATTTTTGTCATTATTAGTATTAGTATTAATCATCACAGAGGCAGCTAGATGTTCAGACTGGATTTGGCATTTTTGTTTATTATTGTTATTGTTATTATTGATCATCGCAGAGGCAGCCAGCTGTTCAGACTGGATTTGTCATCATCATCATCATCATCATCATCATCATCATCATCATCATCATCATCATCATCATTATTATTATTATTATTATTATTATTATTATTATTATTATTTATTATTATTAAATCCCTTGGTTGCTTCCTCCACCGGGATGCCCAGGGAGGGCTCTGTCCTGCTGGGAGCGGCTCATGCAGAGCATCGCATCAGGATCGGCAGCAGCTGCGTTTGCAAGTCTTTGGGGTCCTTTAAGGAAGAAGGAAGGATTGCGAATAAAGGAGAAAATTCCACTTAGGGTTAGGGTTAGGTCACCTTGAACTCATAGAGCAAAATGGTCATCGCCAACAAATTCGGAGTGCTTGGGTATGGTTAGGAGGGCACTGACTTTTCTAGGCTGCCCTATCTAAGTTTCCTGGTAAAAGACATGGGAAAGTCCCATTGGAGAAAAATTCCACTTAGGGTTAGGTCACCATGAACTCGTAGAGCAAAATGGACATCGCCCACAAACTCAGAGTGCTTGGGTATGGTTAGGAGGGCACTGACTTTTCTATGCTGCCCTAGCTATGTTTCCTGGTAAAATACATGGGAAAATCCCATTGGAGGAAAATTCCACTTAGGGTTAGGGTTAGGTCACCATGGACTCATAGAGCAAAATGGACATCGCCCACAAACTCGGAGTGCTTGGGTATGGTTAGGAGGGGAATGACTTTTCTAGCCTGCCCTATCTATGATTCCTGGTAAAATACATGGGAAAATCCCATTGGAGGGAAATTCCACTTACCATTTCAGACAAGTGGCTGTCCAGTCTCTTCTTAAAAACCTCCAGTGATGATACACCCACAACTTCTGGAGGCAGGCTGTTCCACTGGTTAATTGCTCAGATCTGACTATTGCAGGACTTTGAATTATTCTTCAGCTCTCATTAAATCCCTGTAATTTTATATTTATATAAACTGGGTCACACACATTAACCAGTGAGATAAAGGACAAGCATTTGCAGAATGTAGCAAACCTGGTTAGAGCTAACCTTGGTTAGGATTGTGTAGTTTAGTGTGGTGGACAAATGGAACCTGTGGATTGTGAAGAAGTAGGATAGGTAGGATATTGACGCCTTTGGTCTTTGGTGTGAGTCCTGAGGCTCAGGAGAGAATTCAGAAAAGAAATGGACCATCAGAGAAATCAATCCAGACTTCTCACAAATGAGCAAGCTTAGCTGCCACTTCTCTGATTGTGGCCTAGTCTGTGGCCCTTCCTCCTATCTTCCAAGGTCATTTCCGCATGCCATAAAAATGTATACTCTTTGGGGAGAGACTACAGCTTCAGGATGT